CAATTGGTTCGAAAGATCTCTATATTCATACATCTGTCCGTAATTTTATTACCAGCCGGGTAAGCCTGGCCATACAGTCCATACCCGAAGTCTGATTGGGTATGTCCATGGATTTGACGTGGCGGCTGCCGCACTTGATATGTAGAAGTTGTGCGGATTAGCTGCTTCCAGCATGCTTTGCCAAGTCCAGTAGAGTATGTTAGAAACAGCTTATCCACGCAACTTTATCAAGTGCGGCGACAGCATCGTCAAATCCATAGACACGCCTGACCAGACTTCGAGATATGGGATGTATCGTACTTCATGCTTATATCTTCTGTTTACGATCCACATCAACATTATCAAGTGAATATAAAGTAAGCGGTGGGTTGAGATTGTTTCATTTCTCTTTGGGGAAAACCCGATGAATCTATATGAACCGAAAATGCCTATGAAACGTAGGAAGGCATACTGCGTCATACGTCCAGGGTCAAAACTCGAAATGTTCGGTGTCACTAACCGACGATGGGAAGTAGCCATTTGATAGGACGTGTGAACGAGTCGTCTTCGAACGGCTATCCAAGTTCGCCCTCCAAGCTTTTTATGCCCCTCTACGAACAAAGTTACATAGGCTTCATATCACTGCGATGAAAGATCGCATCGAAAAAGATGCGCGGTGCAACTGTGGATCGAAAGCCAAATGGATAATCAGTCAGAATCATAATGGGTTCGCCGAAGGTTCATGTTCTTGTGGGGTTTACGTTTTCCTTTTTTTCCAAAATGTCCCTTGTGCTTCAGAAAATACATATCCTTCAAAGATCACCATAAGTGCTGCCAAGAAACGAGTTAAACTTGCATGACGTCACTCCACAAATTCTCGGCTCATAAGCATTACTAAGTACCTTTTGGAGCTCTATCTACATACTATGATCCTCCATGAAAGTGAAAACCCATCTGCATCTAACTGATCAGTGCCGATTGAAGTGACTTCATATCACTAACCTCGTTTCGTATTCCTTGTCTTGTTGTTTAACTTGCTGGTCAATTATTCCAGCTGTGTAGTCAGCAGTGCTAGCCATTTCATACTTACTCAATTCAACCAACAAAGCGGCAATCTCTCGGTCCTAAAAATTTTTGTTACCTTAGGGATCTCGGGAGCGCAAAAACGGCATCATTGCATTTTTTCCAAACCGATGCACGCACTTTCGGGGCTGCAGATCCCCTAACCAACAGCAATCCCGACTGCAACGCCTAAACTTCTTGCAGCGTATCGCAGTACCAAGGTTGTGGAGCAAGGTTGCCTAGCAGCTGCGTAGCAACCTAATAGCCTTTTTTCAAGCTAATTGCGGAGGAAAGCAGTTGAAATATGACCTTATGAGATTTACGGATTACTGTAATATAAATGGCCATATTGGCCAGGTTCGTTGGGAAAGTCATTTCATAGATTCTTGAAGGATTAACCATTCGCTCAAACCAGGGTGTATGACTGACTACAAGCTGCTGGTTTCCTTCCTACCAGAGGGCCTAAGGCCGATGTCAGACTTTGCGAATCGCGCGATTCGCTAGCGTCCGCGGTCGCGTTGCGGTACCAGCCAATTGAGTGATTCACTGGCCGCGACGCGACCGCAGACGCTAGCGAATCGCGCGATTCGCAAAGTCTGACATCGGCCTAATACTATTTCCTCTGCGATCACTCCACAATCTAAGTACACAATTAACGTTTGTTTTGAAGCTCTTCATGTTAAAAACGATTAAAGAATGACAGTAATGTAATAAAAAACACATGTTATTCATAAAAGGAAAGACAAAAACCTCACCAGAGCTTCTCCACGCTCCTCCTCACGTTTCAACTCAGAAGCTATATCGCTCATTCTGAAATGACAAAAAAAACGTCAAACATATTACACTATGATCTTGTGTGACGCATTTCCAAGAGGCGTCACTCCGTTCCTAGCGGTCCAAGACACACAAAAATTATCGTCATGACTATGGCCACAAAATAACATATCAATCCACAAACGCGAATCTTAAAATTCAATCCTTCTATGAGAATTCATCGAGAGATCATTCAGCGGTACCCAGACCATGAATGCAGCGACATTAGGTTTTGACGTCAGCGTCAACTGCACCTATCTGACGTCAGTTTAGCGAATATCATTTTGTGAAGAGGAAACCGGGTGCTGTAACCCTAAGTAAGGGTTGGTGCAGGGAGCATTTCCCTATGGTGCATTCAAATTATCTGCACCACGACAAGCAGCAGAGTATTTAGAGTAAGGAATACGCACCGAATGAGCCCAAACTGTAACATCTTGAAGCGGGAAGCCAACACAATGATGATGAGCTTAGGGCTAAGCCTTGAGTGAGGAGAGGGAAGGGCGGAAGAAAGAACGCTGCGGCGCGTAAGCAGTGAGCAGCTCATCCAAAACGACCCTAGTGCTGGTAATATACCAAATTACGGTTGTCTTGGTAGCAAAAAAAGGATAACGAAGCGGAAACGCTTCATGAGAAAACCTAAGAATTTGAGAGAAAGACTTGTAGTGAAAAAGTGGAGCCAAAACTGACAACTGGGTAGTTCCTATCGATTAAGTTTTAAAAATTGCCATTTTAGTGGAATGGTGATTTACCCTCCCATTCAAAAAACGAGAACAGCGTCCTGTGCAGACTATACACCACAAGTGACGACGGCCTCCAAGTACCCTCGCCTTCAAATGACCAGAAATTGTGCAATTGCAGAAATTGACGTGGCATCGATTCAAGAACATCTTTGAGCACACGTGACGTCACCTTTTCATCGAGAATTTAGCCACGTGTGCCACGTGGATTTCTGGCTGCATGAAACGGAGTGTAATCTGGTTGTAGTGTTCATAGTGATAGCTGATTTTTGGTAAATGATAGTTGTAATTAGTGACAACTGATAGAATACAACTGCAACAGGCTAATCATTTCATTGGCAGAAAACATTTACATTTTGTGGAGGCCGTCGTCACTTGTGGTGTATGGTCTGCACCCGACGCTCTTCTCGTTTTTGAAGGGAGTATACATTCGTACGAGCTATGTGAGACGGGGGTACGCCGATATTCGACTGAAAAAAACCTTAGGAATCCTCTTCCTAAGTTGAGCAAAAAAGGAAGAACTCGGGGGGGGGGGAGAGAACAGAAAAATTATTTTCCACGAGGTTCCTTCTATGCCGCAATCGACGTACCACTACCCTTCATAGCATCTATTTTTGTAGTAAAAATCGTGTCTGATCAATGGTGAATGTGGTGCGACAGTTGCTGCCGCTTTCAGAAATTCATTATTTGCAAGGAGTAAGTTCCCGGTACCATGAACATTTCGTTTCCGCTCCTATACCCGCCCCTGAGCTTCCTTCCCCTGTGGAAAATCGGAATTTGTTTTGGATGATATGAACCGTAGCACCACGTGCCCCTCCCCTTCACTGGATGAGACCCCAAAAATTCACTGAGAAACTGTTCCTAGAAGAGAGAACCAATGAGACACTGAAGGCAAAAACCGAGCGAGGAATGACCACAGTCGGCGTCACTATGAATTGAAAGCCAGACCGCGCGGGATCGCGGTATTCAAATTCAAATAATGGAGCCGCTTCGCAGCTCGCGTTTTGGGTGGTTCGACGATTGGGAGATACGACGATTCCGCGGAGAGGGCAATGTGAGTTCTGAGCAGAAGAAGCGCTAGACAGCCAAATCACCGAATCGCTGGAAATGCTCATAAGGTGGGGCAGATTGCTCGATGTACAGCAGGATCGCCAAATCTCCGAAATAGTGAGCTATAAATGGTGCTCACGGCAATAGTGATGAAAATGACCACATAAAGAAGGGAGGAAGGACTGAATTCAAAAAGTGCACATTCACGGTTCACGGATGTGGAGAAATATCGCGCGCAGGTACCCTCTATTTCGGAAAACGAAAAGAGCGTCGAATGCAGACCACACACCACAAGTGACGACGGCCAAAAGAAGTGGCTTTCCTTTTCTTTTTTTTATTGGTGCTATACAAGTAGGGTGGGCACGCCGCATTTTTTGAACAGAAATGTATGTAAGTGGGACTGCTGCCCGCTACTATACTGTCACGAGAATCGGGGAATTCGTGAGCCAGGGGGAGTGTAGCCAATCTAGGGGGTGGGGGTGAGGGCAGTCACTTGACATGCGTGAAAAGCTGGGCGTGCCCACCCCACTTGTATAGAGCCCTTTTTTCCTGGCCGTCGTAACTTTTAGTGTGTGGTCTGCACTCGATGCTCTTCTACTTCTTCGAAACAGCGAGCACATAGTGGCACGCTCATTCTGGTGCCTACCGTCTCTCCGCAGTAGTCCATAACTGTGCTCGAACCTGTCCGTTGAACAGTGCGCCAAGAAGTCGTAGTTGTGGTTTTTCAAGTAAAGTTGTGTTTGGTAAAACTGGCATTCTATATTACGTATTTTTGAAGCAAAATTTGGTTCAATACAAGTGGGACGGGCACGCCGATTTTTTGGATCGGTAGGGGTGATGAATGGATTTAGTAGAGGATGGTGCCACTGATGGCGTTGGCCCCATGAAGAAACTCAACAGTCCACATTTCACGGACTTGCAAGGTGTCCGCCTCACACCCCCCACAACTAGATTGGCCTCCACGGCCTCTAGTGCTCGGGGGGGGGGGGGGCAGTCACCGCGCGCGGCTGTGCGGCAACAGGAAATTCGAACATTCCAGCTTCTCACGCATGTCATGTGACTGCCCTCACCCCCAACCCCCCTGAATTGGCTACACTCCCCCTGGCTCACGAATTTCCTGTTGCCGCAAGAGCGCGCGGCGACTGCCCCCCGAATTATCTCGATCGTGATATCGTAGCCCGGACAGCGGTTCGGACAGCAGTCTACACGTACATAATTTTTGCGCACTGTATTCAAAAAATCGACGTGAACGTCCCATTATTTCAGAGGCAAACCCTGCGCAACTGACGCGTTTCTTCAACCGGCCACGTGGCGCGTTTCGCCCCGCCGTAGACCTTTGTTCTGTGAAAACTCGTTACATTCGCTGGTCGAATCGCTCGTTTCGCAAGCTATGCCATCGGCCTACGCTGGGTGTGGGTACTTAGGACAGAACGCGACTTTTTCGCTCTTCGCAACGCGACATCGCGCGGCAGGCTGGCGCACCCGCAGCGAAAACAACTACGGTATGAAGAACGCGCGATTGGAGCAGCTTTTTTGCATGCGTGAATTTGTAAGTTTCTGATTCCTTACTTGCCCGCGCTCACACCCATTGTATTGATAAATGCGGTGAATCACTAATTCTGTCTCATTATTGAAAACGTTTTGTGACTTACACGATTCCGGGCGATGCCACTAAAATGGTGTTTTACGAATTATCGGTGAACGAGGGTTTAATAGTGTCGCTTGTGCTTGCATTTTGTGGGTTCATATTGTTGTATAGACATCTGCATAAGGGTATAACATCTTTTACGGAACGCTTCTGTCCTCATTACGGATATGATACTCATTTTGACGCTGGCGCCATTTGGGGCCGGGTGGCGCCACAACTGATTCCCACTAAATTCGCTGTAAACTTCTGTATAGGGGTTATTCGGGGTCCTGATTTGTTGTTAGCGCTATTCGGCGCCTGCTTCCTGCTCGTCTGCGCCCTCGCACTAATTAGATCGCAATAGGACTAAGCCTTTGAGTAGTGTAGGGCTCCAAAGTGGGTAGGCCATTCCCCTGTGGTCTGACACACTCCAACTTTTGCCACACGGTGCGTGGTTTACCCACTCCGGAGTTTCACTCCCCTCCCCTAAGCTTAGTCGTAGGCGCTGTAGGTGAGAAAGCTTAGAAAAGCAGAAAGTATGCGTTAAACAGCACGAATGTGAAAAATGAGTGTCATATTCATGATCAGGGCCCCAAATAACCCCTATGCAGAAGTTTACAGTCGTCTCATCAAACGTCCATCAACCATTCCTCTTCCAGGTTCTCCAGAAGCTCTACCATCCATCTCTGCAAAAATAACCTACCTCCCTCTTCACTGCTAGTTAGCGGTCCACTTCTGGTTACCATTTCCTCGTTCATTATCAAATCCATGGCTATTAAGCTTCAAACTCCTTGTCGCAATCAAAGCCGACACAAATATCGCGCTCCAATCGCGCGTTCTTATATACCGTAGTTGTTTTCGCTGCGGGTGCGCCAGCCTGCCGCGCGATGTCGCGTTGCGAAGAGCGAAAAAGTCGCGTTCTGTCCTAAGTACCCACACCCGCTATTTGAAACTCTTTGTATTTATGTGTCTGAGCAGAGCAAAAGATCAAACTTGCCTTAATTGACACTACAGCCATTTGCGTCGAGTCCGTGTTG